CTGTCAACAGGAATCCAGAACAGAGCCAGTCGAATGTGTGCATTAAATGTCAATAACCATAACTTAATTCGTTTGGACTTTCATTTGGTTTTCGGCTGGGGTTTGGTGTCTTTGGTTTGTCTTTCACATCGTTCATTGTCATTGTTTGCCTTTGAAACAAAGGTCAACTTACGCTTGTCACTCCCCATTCCACCACCCACCCCCCTTAAATCCACTGATTGGAGGGTCTCTGAAATCGAATAGGTCTGGCCACTGCAAAAATATTGACTCAACTGCAGCATTTTTGCAGGGGGCATGGGTGCACCATAAATCACAATGATGGTCAAACTTGGTCAGTGGCCCAATATTGGTTTAGGTTGCCCGGAGAACAGTTTAAGCTAATTGTCAGCCAGCAGAGATCAATGAGGACTCTTGGCCAGAAATATGTTTAAGGAAGGAAGTTTTTGGGGGAGATAAGTGTTAAATTGAAATATTGAAGGATTCTTTGTAATGGTAATATAAGCCAAATTAAATTGGCTTAAGAAAAGATTACTTGCGGTTAAGAAATGTGTTTTTTTATTAAATCTTCTCACTTTAAATATTTCCAAACTTAAATCATTCAATGGAATTATATAATTTTATCAAGTACGATTACTTTTTATTATTAATTGTTTCAAATTATATCTGATTTGCTGTTATACAAATAATGTTTTCAAAATAACCTAATTTTAGTAGAATAGTCCCTTTAGTAGAAAATTACTTTTAAAGGAAAATTTAAAGCAAACAATAAAACTTGTATTGTAGTTCATATTCGTTAAAGTTACTTTACCTTTAAGCTTATAATTGCGGTTTTAAGTTACCTTGTATTTAAATCAATTCTATGCCAAAAATGGCTACTCTTTAGGTAACCCCTTAAAGCATAATTCTTAGAGGTCATAAAATGCTTCAGTGCTCAAATTTTATTGCGCTACATCCCCCTTCTCAACCATAAAATTCACGCCCCAGACCGCCAGGAACTTCCCACTCGCCACCCCCCGAGTTTTACCCTTCTCGCCAATAGGTAAATGGAAATGAAATACGTCTCAAATCGAAATTCTTTGGGGATTTGGCATCAGCCCGGGATCGAAACTATCTTTCAAACCAATAAAAACGAGACCATTCAGCACGGAAAAAATGAAATACTCAGGTGACTGACGCATTGCACACACACACAGCCATAATTTACATATTTTTTGGCCAAACGAGAAGGTAAAATAAAAAGGAGCAAAAAGCTTCGTATCGCTGAAGATACCAAAAAGCAACCCGAAAGTAAACAGAAGTTTTTTCGGGGGATTCGGAACAAGGGGATGACCACTTTTTTTCCTTGGTGGAGTCCAGGAAGGTTTGCTGAAATTGAAAACGGCGTTGATTATAATGTCAATACTCATAAAAACAACAGAAATACAACAAAAAGCAGCTCGCCAAAAAAGTGTATAACTCTAAACTTGTGACACAGAGAAGTACGATATAGCCAATGGGGGCGGGGGGATGAGCCGCGGGCGGGGGCGTGGCTGATTGGTCCGCTTCTGCTCATGGGTGCGGTCCAAAACATTTGGCTGGCTTTACCCCTTTTTATTGTTGTTGCTGTTGTTGTTGTTGTTGGGCTCTTATTTATTTTGCGGTCAGTGTTTTTTCTTTTGCTTTTTTCGGGTTACTTTTTGCTGTTTTATCGTCGTGTCGTTTTGGAGTTAAAAAATCAAAATGTATGTTTCATGTTCCCCATTGTCACTTTCATGGGCATTACTAATGCTCTGTGGTTATTGGGGGTATTTTGGTTTTCGAAATGAATTTAAAGTGAAATTAATTAGTGATAGAATAGCAATATAAACAATGTATAAGTTAAATACATTCTAAAGAAGGATTAGTAGTAATACTTCATTATTTATTTTAAAAGTAAAAATAAATATATGTTATTAATATTAATATCAGATTCATTATAAAGGAACTGCATTCTTTAAGTAGGTTTATTAATAAACAATAAAAATAAAGTTTCTTAACTAAATCATCACTTAAAATGTATCATATTTATATGTATTAGTTCTAGATGCTGTATGTATGTATGTTGTATGTTTTTTGTTTTATTTACTAATGCTGATGCTGAGATGTAATATAAATTATTATATATATCAACCAAATATTAATTTTATGTTTATGTACAATTTGTTTAGTTATCGCACCGATTTCACGAGTATCCCCACTAGAACTCCTTTAATTTTGAAAGAGTATCCCACTCCTGGTGAGTTTCTAATGCTCAATTGATATCTTGTTGCTGGCTTGTCCTTTGGCTACCTGCCCGATCTGCCACCTCTCCACCGCTGGATGGAATCCTCCTCCTGGCCATCGCCTCGATGTCACCCCTCGACTTTAATGCGCTTTGGCATGCTTTTAGGCAATAATTCATGGATTAACGCCATTTGGCTTAAGCTCGTTTCTTTGGCTGCTTTTAGCGCAGAGTTTTTGATATTTGGAGCCTCGCCTTCACCTTTTGGTGCCATCGCCACTCGGGATTCGCATTCCTCGGACGTGACTAATAAACCTTTGTCCCCATCTCCTTCTTTTTTTTCTCGACTCTAATGATCTTGCTCATTTTTGGCCACAAACAGAATTTCGTGTGTAGCGATTTGTTGACCACAACAAATTGCATTCGCCCATAGCCCCATAAATAACTTTTGCAAATGTCCCGGCACACACTGCTATATACATATATGTCCTTGTACCTGACTGACTGACTGACTCGCAGGACTGACTGAGAGCACGTGCTAAGTGCCCGAGGAGCCATTAATCAATTTGGCAAAGGCGGGGCATATTGGTCTGCTTTGATTTATGCTTTAGAATATTATTTTTGATTTTCGGAAGTCCTTCGAATGCAGTCTTTTTCTGCTGATTGTTGGTAAATTTCAGCTGCCATCTTGTATCCTTTGTCCTTGCGCCGGTGGAAATTCAATCGGGCTGGTAAGCATCCCGTATCCTCCACTTGTTTTAGCCATTTCCATTCCAGGGCGTCGAAACATTTTGCGCTCGCTTTGTTTCTGCCAAGGCATGCAAAATGTTCGGTGGAAAATAGAGTTTAAGGAAAACCCGAGGGGAAAATTGTGAAACCAGGAAAAGTATACCAAAAAGGGGAGCTTAAGCGAACGGAACTGAAGGCAAAAGCGAAATACTAGTGAAAGTATGGGGATTTTAAGCTTGGTTGCATATTTAAGCACCAACTTCATTTTGCTGGAATATTCGCAAAACAATGTTTTGTTCACGCTGCTTAGAAAATATAATAAAATAATCTAAACAATGCTGAAAACCATTATAACTTTATTTTAAGCGCCATTATTTCGTAACAGTTGGTAAAACTTCAAACCTAATAAAATATAACTCTCGTTTGTAAAAGTTAAATCTTCTATAACTAATCCCACAACATTTCCGATATTTTCCATAAAAGTGATTCCTTTTAGAACTGTAAAACATCTTCTTGAAGTTATAATGCCAGGGAATTGCCAACAAAAGGGGCAGAAAATCAGCCTAGAAAAGAAAACTCATTGAGTGGAGCAGCTGGCCATCATTGTTGGGGGAAAAGGGGGAAACCCCAAGGGGAAAGAAAGGGATGGAGAGGGGGAGGGGATAGAAGTAACTGTCTTGCGGGTGAGTGACGCTCCCAAGTGGCATTGGTGGCATCCTCTCAGCCACCCACATCTTGCGTAACTTCTTCCTCTTCTTATTCTTATTCTCCTTCTTCTTTTCTCCAACTTCCGTTGCATGAATTTCCGGCCATGGATTCCCCATTGTTTTTGCCGCTTTGCTGCTACTTTGGCCGCGTCCTCGGCTGGCACTTTCCATTTAGCTGAAAGTTGATTCGCATTCAGGGCATTTAATAAGCGCTTATTGTGCTTAAGCCTCATTGTTGTCCGCTCATAGTTATTTGTGTTGTTCGGTTAATACTTTCAGTGACTTTAATGACCGGGAAGGAACAATAAAGTCCAAGCAAATGACAAACTTTGCTGGATATTGGTAAGTTGGTACGACCGAGCAACAGGATTTAACCGCAAAAACTTGCTCACTTGGCAAACTAACGTTTATCGAAGGAGGATAATTTGTTCTGATATAAATTTACTTAATCTTACGAGCAATGAAAAAATATCATTTATGAAATTATTATAGTTTTTTTAAAAAAATTGAAAACTACAATATTTATAAGCAACAATTACTTGCAAATCAATTTAGCCTAAAGCCTTGACTAAATTAAGCACAATTTGAAAACTTAATATTTATTCGAATAGAAATGCTTGCAGTTATGAATAAACTCAACTTTGATTTAGAATTCATCCACCTTCAAATGTTGGTTATTAACCAAAGAAAAAAAAATAAGTAGATGAACCTTATTAAACAAGAAAATCTCTCAAATTCAGAAAATACAAAAAGGTAAGAAGTAGGCGTAATCGATGCCTTTTAGTGGGATTCTAAATTCTATATTCTATTCCAAGCACTTAAATCATGGATTCCACCTTGGTATTATTCTGATCAACTTGCATCCTTGACAAAGGGCGGAGGAGGGGTGTCTCAACGGACGATGTCATTCTGTGGCTTCTTTGGGCAATTAGATTGGGCATTTAGCCATGAAATTTGCGAACATATGGCTTCTATCTGACGAAAAAGCAAACTGCTGGCGCTAACAGAGCGCTTAACAGAGGGCGGTTAGCAGCGGTGCAATGTGGGGCTTGGCTTGGACAGTTACTCTCTTGCGCTCTCGCTCTCTTTCTCTTCGCGCGCCCCCCTTCCGAGCACTTTTCGCTTCGGGTGGCTTCGTTGGTCGCCAGTCGGCTCTCAGCTCGGCAGTGTAACAGAGAATCTGCGTTCTTCGCACAACACCGACCACACGGCGGATGCTTCGCTTCGTTTCTTCTTCCGCCGCTCTCTTAAGCGCTCCGCCCCGCTCTCTGGTTCTTGGCCGTGCTGGGGCCACCGCCTGTGTGCTCTGCAGCTGTGGCTGTGGCTGCGGCTGCCGCTGTCGGGCGCTGTTCGCCAGCAGAGCCAGAAAACAGAAAACAGAAACAGAAAACAGTTACAAGATGTTCATCGAAGTGACTGGAACGCCGCAGCGGTTAAACGGAAACGGTCGCATGGACTCTTGAGCAGCCGAAGAAGCTCGCTTCCGAAATCGCTGAAAATCTAAAGCACAATCGCGTTCTTCAAGTGGAAACGTTAGCACAAACAACATAAAACGCATACACACACACCGCCCGCAGCAATCAAAGTGAAATCAAAACAACGCAAATTCCCAATATTCGAATAAGAACCATTTTCGATTCCAATTCTCAAACTGTGAAACAAGAAGTGCATTCGGTTTTCCTGCTCGTGGAGCTATTGTTATTTTTAAATCGCTGACCGCAGAATATTTTTACTGCTTAAAATAGACGGCAACACACAAAAAAGAGATGCCGCCGAAACAGAAATAAACCAAAAAACCCAAAGGGTAAAAACTCGAAAGTGCCAAAACAAACAAGAATTTCACTTAGAAAAAGTGCGTGCTCTAAAAATATACACAAATCCAACAACGCAACCAAGTGGCAACTGGGAATTTATTTTGCTGCCCCAATCCCAACACAAAACTGCATTTTGTTAAATATTCAATCTGGAAAAGCAAAGTGTCAAAGTGTAGTGCGAAAATATTTATAAATCTCTGCCAAAACATAAACAACCAAACGATAGAGGAGAATTCAACTCGCATTTCGTGCATTTTATAAGGATTTTCGTTTTTTGGAATACTAAAAAGAAAAAAAAAAGAAACAGAAGTACAAGAAGCGGAATCCATTAGTTCCGCGTTAAAGTGTTAAAACCAATTGATTCTTGGATACTTCGTGAACTTTGCATTTTGGAATACTTCAGCACCATTTTGGATATCTGTGCTAGTGAATTCTATATATATATTGCCGATCGATCTGGAGGGCAAAAGGAAATAATTTCACAAAGGTTGGTAAACAACTTCTGTTTGTGATCGCTGAGATTGTTGAGTAATAGATTGTGGCTGGTATAAAGAAATCCATTTATTGCCGTCGCAAAATATTTATATTATGCACACGTCATTAAGCATACGACAGGTTGGCCAATGTAAGAATCTGCTTGTGAGCCAGCAAGTGGCCATGAAAATGTGTAAACAAAAAATATCGCCGTATGTTTTCTGAAGAATGTGAAAATACAAAGTGTCCGAAATTACCAAAAAAATTTTCGCTTGAGAAAGGCTGAGCGCAAAAACAATAATTTTGTTATCACGATTTTTTGTAAATACCGTGATATTATAAAGAAATCTAAAACCAAATTTAAAAACGTAAAAAACCATTAATAAAATTAACAATTTTTTAAAACTTACCTTTGCTAAACTGGTTTATGTGCCTAAAATATAATAAAAGAATTTGTTGGATTCCCTTCAAAAAATTATGTTGTAAATCAAAAATATATATTTTTAAAAATATTTCTCGCCGCTACAATATAAATCTATTTTTAAAGACAAAAAACATCAATTTGATAAAATTTTCGAATTTTGTCATTTTACAAGCAGTGGAAATAACACAAATTCATTTTCTTCGTTTTTGGTTAATTTAAACGGAAAAAAAGTAAAAAATGCTGTTATTAAATTGGGAAGAAAACTCTAACGCTGTAAAAGATCATCCTTTCAAAGGAAAGTCTCCCAACGACTGTTAGCTTGAGTTAATTGGAAAAACATAAGCAGCTGGGGTTAGGTAACTAAAAGAGCGCCACAGATTTTCCAGTGAAAACGAATCAATTTCAAACGGACCACTAACACCTGGACACAGTCGAGAGTACGATATTTACAAAGAATAACACTTGAGAGCCCCCAATACTTATAAGGCGAAGTGCTGTAAACAAAAGTCCCCGAGTGCATATCTCATTACCAGACCAAGGATCATCGTCAAAACAAAAGCAAGAATCGCAAGAAAGAACAACAAAAAATAGGCAGAACAAAAAGGCGAAACTTTTCTCATTATCAGCGCAAGTGTTTTCTGCACTCTTATTTTCCCCTTATTTTTTTCGTTTTCCTTACAAGTGGAAGTGTCAGTCAGGGCCATGGATATGGCCAACGGCAGCTGGTCAGTCTCAGTTCTCAGTTCTCGGTTCTCGGGTCTCAATAGCAAATCCCATTCTTCAGCCACCGGTAAAAACGTCATTCATAAAACCGAAAGGGGAAAAAATTATAAAACCGGGGGACATTTTTTACATCTGTCATAAATTTCCCTGCACTCGGACATAAATCTATTCTCTGCATTTTATTTGTTTATTTAAAAATTCTTGTGCACGACGAAAAGAAAAACGGAAAGACGAGAGCCATAATTTGCAACCTGATTGATGTGACAATTCCTTAATTAATTTTTGTTGGAAATACGGCATATATATGGCTGGCATTTAATTAGCAAATCTGTTTTCGGGAGAGGTAATACATCAGGGTAAATGATGTGAAGCGAGTGCAGCAGAGAAATGAGTTTATTCACTTCGCAGAATCTATTATCTGGCTCGTTTACCTTTTCGCAACCAGGTAATTGAACCCTAGTCTTGTCCTGCCTTGCCCTTCCTCCTTAGATATAAATCTATACGTAACTTTTCAATATCGTTCTGCAACCTTTCCCACGATTTGTCAATCAACATTTCCCTCTTCCTTAACTTACAAAGAATTTTGGCAATCATTTGGGAGGAGCACCCAAAAAAAAAAAAATTAAGCAAATAATACGAATTGTTGATAAGGTGTCGGCGATGTGTGCTTCTGTTGAGATCGAGTTCACTGACTCGACTTTATCACTGCCTACTTAAACTTTTTGGCTCAACATTCTTCGTTCTTCTGGCTTCTTGTTTCTCTTCTGCTGATAAGAATTGCTGGGGCTGAATCGACGAAGAAGCCGCAGCTATTACGATTGCAATGCACTTTGAGTAGTCGGTCAAGAGCCGAGGTTTCTGGATTTCTCGATGATGAAAAATGCCTGATTCTAAGTGAATAAGATTAAACTTTGTTAAGGGATGTTTTAAATTTTCAAAATAATAAATTAGTGTCATAACATTTTTAATAGTTTTTTTAGAAAGAAAAGCTATTTACAGATTTGCGCTTATCGTTAAATCTAAATTTATTTATTTCATTTAGAGAAAGCGAGGAACCTTTTAATATAATTTAATATGCTGTTGCGAACTTTTCTTTTTATCTGCTTCTCAAGACTTGGCAATTTCCATAAATTATGCACCTTGTCATGTCAAATAATAGTTAAAAGTGCATTTTCTTATCATGGCAACTCCGCAAAGTATGCCACAAATGAGAGAAACGCAAAATTCTCCTTGAAAATAAATAGTCTATAATTAATTGGCAAAGTGGAAGAAAATATTAGCAAGTAAATTGCGAAGGTGCCGCTATTCCGGTCCAATGACGATAACTTCAAGATATCAAAACCTGCCACTGAAATCAGGCACTGGTCAACAAATATTTCCCAGTCATAAACATGGTTGGAAATGCAGAATGCATTTATTTTTCCGCACCAACCCGCGCTGGCCCACCCAATTAGCCTCGACTGCTTGTGCAGTAAATAAGCCACAAAAAAAAAAAGAAAAATACACAAGAAGCTGAGTAAAAAAAAAACAAGAGCGGAGGATGAAAAGCTGGCAATAGAAGAAAATATTTTCTGCGCCATATTTTGCAGCCAACGCACATAAATAAGCTCTAGACCAAGAAGCCAAAAAGGCAACAGAATGGGCTGGGCGTACCATACGAAAGTTGGTCGCATTGTTGCCGCTCTGTTATGGTTGGCATCTGGCCAAAAAGACATGGCCAAATGTGCGCCAGTTCTCGCTGCCTAGCCATCATCCAAAATTCAGCCTCCCATCGTCCCTTCTTCTGCTTTTTTGCCCGATTTCTGTTGTCGGCTCGCTAATAAATAATTTTAATTGTGTTTCCTTTAGCTTTGCTCTTTCATTTGGCTGCTCCACTTCTTTGGTAATAAAAAGATTTCCATTGTTGCACTACTAGCTCTGCTGCGGAAAATGGCTAAAACAAAAAATATAAAAAACGTGATCAACAGCAAATTGAGTTCGCCTTTATGACTTGGCCAATTTGCACAGTGTGTGTGTCTGTGTGTGTGTGTGTGTGTCTTATCACTCTGCAGCGACAGCATTGAGGTTGGCCAGGTTTTCCCTTATTTCTCTTCTTTTATTTTTCTTTTTTTTTTGCACTTTTCTGTGCAGCACACGGCTAGTGTCTCGTCCAATCTTCGGTCGACAAATATGTCGAGTGCTTGACTTGGGCAAACTTTGTCACTGATAAGACTGTTGAACACCCCGATCAGCCCGCCTTCTGCTCGTATTGGGAGCTCTTCAATTTTATGCTGCCACACTGGGGGAAAAACAGTTTAAAGCTTTGTTTTTTCCAAAAAGAATTCATAATTATATATGAGTCAGTACCTAACAATACACGTTTTATAATAATTTAATTCTTAACATAGAAACGATTTGCATTATGAAAATTTGATTTATTCGTTTCTTAACATATAAATGATTTGCTTAATGGAAAATTATATTTTGCAATTCAAAGAAAAATAATCGGTGAGATTTTTTAACTTGTTAAATATACAATTTGATTATCTTGTTTTTTGTATCCCCATTAAAATATTTAATAACAAAACTAACTTCCCAATATTTTGCCGTGCAGCAGAACTATAATAACCATACGCCACGTTGCACTGAAACTGAAATGAAACGAAAGTTGTCTTGGTAGTATACTTTTTTTTTTGGCGACTTGGTCACGTCTTCAATGCACTTTTGCCACTTGATGGTTGAGGGGGCGGGGTGCCACATGAAGGTGGGTGGAAGGGGGTGGAGGGGTTGTTCATCGGTGTGCAGTGACATTTATTGTTGCTTCTGCTGCAAAATCAGTTGGTCCCTGCACGAGTGTCTATATATCTATAGCCAATGCACGGGTATCTACATACAAGACACGCCCACTCACACAGGCGATGAGTTTTATAGGCGCTTTCAATACTGGGCCAAGGTAGTTTTTATCTTTTTACTTTGCCATTTTATTGTTGATGTGATGGCTGTTTCTTTTATTGTTGTTGCTGCTGTTTTTGTTGTTGTTGGCCCGTCTGGCAGCTTTAGCCGATTTCGTTGTTGTTGCTTTTGTTGCCTTTTGTAATTGCAATTTGCAATCCTTGAACAACTTTTGTTCTCTTTTCTTTGCCCATTCTCTCATTGCCTGCTGTCTCTTTAATTTTGCATTACTCATTTTATTTTATTTATTTATTTATTTTTCCTGTGCCAGATGCTGGGGAAAATCTACAGAAAAGCACGTGCTTGATGGCAGCATTTTGCACAATTATGAAACAATTGTGAATTGAAATCGTTCTCGTAATTTTAGTAATTTATTTCACAGAAAAATATTCTTCTGCATTGTTTTATACATTTTACCATTTATTTCTATTTCTCTTGGGGAAATACTTTTTCCAATTTAATTTGTACACGCAAAATCCCTTAACAGTAATGATTTAAAACATTTACAAATTGCAAGAAGCTCTTTCGCATTTCAAATTTGATTTTCCATTTGGTTTGTTAGTTTTATGTTGGTTTTCGATTTTCCAATGACGTCTGGCAGAAAATTTCCATTGGATCGAGACAATTGGCAGCCAAGTCAAGTCAAATGAATGCAATTGGCACACAAACACACACACACACAAGCAGGTCATCCCAACCCCCTTGGTAACCCCCTTCAGCACGCCCCTGCACTTGTATATCTCTTATTCGATCAACCTTCCTTTCTTGGCTTGACTCTTTTGGTTCGTTTTTCAAACAATGCCAAGCTGTCAAAGCTATTGATTTGAGTGTGCGACTTATGTTTGCCATGCGAACGCCTTTGAACGCCCACCCACATCCACGCCCCCTTTTCCCACCCATTTCCACGCCGCCACCCTCTCCCATTTTGCCCTTCT